AGAAAAAAGAATATTATGCTGACAAATCACGAGCAAACACTAATTTTGACAGCTGGTGAAGTTAATATCCCATGTATGCAATTCATACATTTCCTTAAATACAGGATTCTTCACAATAGCAGTGAACATTTAAGTACACGGTTTACTTAGAACATGTTGATCGTATACACAGAGCAAGGGCACACAGCGAGCGGACACTCGCGAGAAGCACAGACACGACCGACAGCGACGACGGAGCACGCAGGCAGGACGGAGGAGGCAGGAGCAAAGACACAGACACAACGACACAAACACGCACCAAGCAACACACGACACGCACGAGACAGAGAGCACAACGCACACATTCGATATTGTAGAAAGAGAGGAGAGAGAGAGTAGATGGAGAGGAGAGGATGATGATAGAGAGTAAAAGATAGAGAGTGATTTGATGATAGTGAGTGAAGGGATAAGTAGTAAGGAGTATAGATAGGGGTTATAGGGAGAGAAGAGAGATAGAGAGGGTGAGGGAAAGAGGATAAGTAAGTACATGAAGGTATAGTAGAGTGGAGATAGATGAGTAATGAGAGAGATATAGAGAGAGAGAGAGAGCAGAGAGAGAGATAGAGAGTAGTAAAGTATAGATGAGGAGAGTAGAGAGAGAGTGTGTAGTAATTAGTAAATGTAGAATGAATCTTGAAGCATAACGCAAACAGACGAATATCAAATAGTTTTGAGATGCCTTCACTTTCAATAAAGACATAAATGGTAGTCACGGAATGCAAATGATAAATAAGGAAAGCGAAAAGAACGTTCGTAACAAATATCTTCCTCAAGCGACATCAAACTATCGAAAGATTTACGAAGAATCAGTAAAGCGATGTCAGTGACCTAAACCGAGTCTTTATATTGTTGCTTTCTTTCTTTCTTTCTAACGTTTTTCGGGATAACAACCGCGAGACGAGACGGACGAGTGATTAAAATCTCTGAACATTCAATCGATTCTATAGATAAATCGCAGATCTCTCTTGTCTGAAATGAAATACACACACAACAGGATGTGTGGTAGCTATTTGTGCGTTTGGATGCGTGTTATACATCATTAATTCATATATATAATACAGAAAGATACACAGTCCACACCCTCTCTCTCTAGTAACATAATATATATATATGAACATAAGTGGCAGTATATATATATATAGATAGAGTATATATAATAAGGAAAGTAGGTAAGAAGTGGGTAATAATAGAGATAAATTAAGAGAGAGGATGAATGGAATAAGGGGAGGATAAAGGTATTAATGCAGTGTATGATATATATACATCTATATCGTTTATATATATAATAGTATATATATATATTGTATATATATATAGTATACCAATAATATATATATATTGTGGGGCATACGAATAATACGCCAATACGACCAACTAAATCCGAAAACAATGAAGCCAGGCATAGGGGCTATATAATTTATCAACTTTCATGACAGGTAAATTCATGAAACCATAATGCAGAAGACTACTTAAGTGTCACTTTCTCACAACCACTATATTGGAAGGCGTACTAGGGCGCAGTGTAGAGAGAGGTCTGAAGTCCTGCGTGGCTTAGGCTAATGGTGCAGTGTAGGTCCGATAAGGTCTATGCGAGGAAAGCGAGGGACGGAGAAAAGCGCGCAGACGCGGAAGCCTTAAGAGAGTGGACGGGGCCTAACAACGGTCAAGGGGTCGTACAAGCAGGTAATCCAGGGTGTTTGGAAGCTATCATAGAGTAATGAGAATTGCATATGGTTTAAGTACTCGTATACCTCTTATAGCATCCTTTTAGCTCCCTCGTAAACACCCTACGAACAATGGGGTTAGAATTGAGACTGGATGAGGGTGCTTGAAGGCTATGATAGAGTAGAGGTTAAATGGGGGCAGAGTTTTTGAGATCTCGATTCCCTTAAATATGGGGGGAAAATAGGGGAGGAGGTATGGCGGTGTGGAGAGTATAGGGGGGAGTGAGGATGGGTAGGACATCATTTGGTCCAGGGCGGAACGCTTTAGTGCATTATATGAGCAATGGAGTATAGGATGAGTATACTATAGAATTACTATATAATATATATAGTTGTAGGAGTATAGTGAGGAGGGAGATATATTAATATATGGGGGGTGAATTCCGTTGATTAAAGAAATTTACTAGGCTAAGCGATGGGCAAGGAGATGGGGGGGGTAGTGACGAGAGGGGAGGGAGGAGGTAAAGATGGGGGGAAAAAAAAGAAAAAACACTGTAGAAATTGAGGGGACGAGGAGCGGAGAAAAGGGGTGAGGAGGGAAAGAAGAGAGAAAAAGAAGAAAAAGAAAAGAGGGGGGGGGGCGCAGAGGGGACAAAAGAAGGCAGTAGGGGGAGAAATAAGTATGAGGAAACGTAGGAAGAGGGAGAAGAAAGGAAATTGGAGTGTCACTGTCGTGTCTTCTCCCTCCTCGTCGCCAGGACTGTCATCCAGTCAACAAGGCATTTCCCAATACTGAAAGCCAGATAGCGCGTCAGTTGTCAATCTCTTGATGCTCAATATTTCTTAGCTGAATATCAGAAATGTATGTTTAGGCCGGTAATCTTACATAGTAGACAAATGTGTTAAATATAGAACTATGCATATACACACACACACGCATACAGTGTGTGTTGTATGTGCGTGTGCCGTGCGTTGCGTTTGCATGTTTTTGCAACATACAAATGTATGCACTTTATGCAGTACGTAATATATTTAATATAATTATGCGGTAACGCCTAGCAAACCGCCCTAGCACGAGCACTTTGGTGAAAACAAACTCGTTCGTTCGAAAAATCAATGCGCTTTGCTTACAAAGTAGCTGAATTTCAAAGTAGAGAATTTCGTTTCTTAGCGTGAAAATGCCAATGAACTGTGTTGTCGTTGGTTGTTTCGAACCAAATATGATGGGAAAGAAAGGTTAACCCTTCATATCCCCAGATCGCGAAAAGAAACCTGAATAATGGAAGCATGGGTAGGCCTACAGGCCATGAACCGCATGAACGCTGATGGGAGTGCTTGGGCGCCTGATGGAAAATGTTTACATCTGCCCAGAACATTTTATTGAACTACATATTAAGATTACACCTTTTTCAAATTCCAGAGACAGATAATTACTTTCAAACTCTTGTCTATCTACATTACCTGTCAAGCCAAACAAGATCAACATTGTCGCATCAGGTTTTGGCAAAAGTCATACATTCTAAAAAGCACAAAAGCAATTCTATTATTTTCATTTTATTTTTTTTTAATAAATGAATTGATTGATCATAATTTATATTTACAAGCAAACCATCCCCGCATCCACTTCACCAGACTTTATCCCAAGTGCCTTCAAGCACTGTCCATTAAATGAAAACAAAGCAGGTATACAGTTGCCTGTTGCCTTTTGTGTCTGAAATGTCATAGGTCAGCAGAAGAACTAATTGAGAGGGCCTATCTCTTGAGGTCAAATTATTGAGGAGAGAGAAAAATGCTTGCTTTGCGCTAAGCTATACTCGACTTCATTGTCTCCTTTGTATAAACACCTAGTAAATGGGAAGAAAAGTGGTGTTAGGAAATGGCACTGATTTCACAGAAAAATACCCTATATAGCAAAATGGCATACTCTACTGTAGCAAATTATGTTATAAAATTATTATTATCATCATCTGCTTTATTGATAGAATAGTCGTAGATGTCAGAATACTCAATTTTTGGTCATTTCGAAGGATCGTCGATCCATATTTCGGTATGAGTACGCTTTTAGCTACACAGTTTCTAGTTTTGCTTCATATACACATTTTCTCTTCGTTTTTGAAGAATCAAAGAATTCATATGCCATTTTCCTTCTCGTTGATAGCGAGGTACTGCGAGCGACGGGTTTGTTTTCACCAAGTGGAATGGCGACTCCGACTCGTGACGTCCCACCGAATCGGTCTATACAAAACCCTAACCTACAAACCTCTTCGCATTGTCTATCAGAACCACAGGCGAGTCGTCGCCGCACGACGTCTGCGCGAAGTGATGTCGTCAACATTCTGGATCAGGAAATCGAAAACCGACACGTCAATGAGATCCAGAAGTTTCCTCGGAGAAGGAGGGTGTGAAGGACAGCTGGCAGTAGTTTCGCGTCCTTTTCCCAGCTTGAAAGGAGAAGGAGAAGGAGAAGAAGGGAAGTCACGGGCAGGAATTTGCGTCGGGTCGAAAGGAAACGGGATGTATGTACGTGTGTGTGTGTGTGTGTGTGTGTGTGTGTGTGTGTGTGTGTGTGTGTGTGTGTGTGTGTGTGTGTGTGTGTGTGTGTGTGTGTGTGTGTGTGTGTGCGTGCGTGTGTGTATGTATGATGTGTGCGTGTGTCCAGAAGCAAAGCTTTGATGATACAAAATACTTCATCATACGAACTGCATCAGCAAATACCAATAAAAAGAGAGCGAGATACTCATTAATGAAAGCAGAATCAGAAGAATATTTTAAACGCCCTAATAATAAAATCTGGTCTTGCTAAATATATTCCAAAACGACTGAATGTGAATTCGTCCTTAATTAGTTTACTGCTAGACTAGGTTAAGTTTCCTTACACCTGTAATCATAGATATCTCCACCTTTTCAGGTAATAATTCAGAATTTATGCAATTTTACAACATCCTCATTTAATGGTAATAGGTATTCACATACAGCTTCGGTACTTGAATATACATAGACACTACAGTTCTCCTATGAAATGAACTATATTCATAAGAACAATTGGAACCTAGTTTATCTTGGATATGTACAACAATGTAGGCCTCACCCCCCCCCCCCTAAAACAAACATGGCACAGTATTTCCCATGTTTACTGTACCCATATTTTTTCATTTTACACACGATGTTTTCCCGGCTTCACTGAGGTTACCCACACCCGCTCTGGACTATATTCATAAAACCAATTGAAACCTAAGTTATCTTGGATATATACAACAATGTAGGCCTCACCATCCCCCTAAAACATACTAATTTATCCGAAACGTCATGGTAGTGTTTTCCATCTTTCCTGTATCTATATTTTATTTTCATTTTACACACGCCCTCATTTCACCCGAAACGTCATGATACAATCATTCCCTTCCTTACTGTACCTATATTTTCTTTCCATTTTACAGTTGTTGTGTTGTTGTTGTTTTGTCTACATTATAGTTACCCACATCACTTCTTTACTTACTCGGCGAGCTTGCCTTTGATATAAGTCCTTCCCCACGGATGGTGTGGCTCGGACGCTACGTAATGTTCTGGAAGCCACATGACCACAGCCCCCTCGAGGTACTGGTCCTCCTCGCACGCCGGCCATTTCCTATCGCAGAACTCGCAGTTTCCGAAATAGCAGAGATCTCCGTCTGAAATGCGAGGTTTTTGGTTTATTGCTGAAAAAAAACCTGCTGCGTTTTAACATACGTCGAGGAGGTTCATGTGTGGATACATCGTTTGGATTGCATATGTGAATTGGTAACTATCTCCCGCAGGTGATTATTACGTAAATAGATGCAATGGATGTTATGAACTGGATGGAACTGAAAAAAAGCTGGGGTGAAGTAGATATCATGTTATTTCTTTTATCAAGGGTTAAGTTATATTATAAAAAAGGCATAAGAATGTTTTAAATTGACGATGAAGCTAGATACGGTACAATCTTAATTCTAGACACAAGTGATAAGTAAGCTCTCGAAAGTGTACTGCCATGAGAATAACAAACACAACACGAAGCACGTTACGGCGCGAAGACACACAAACAGAAATCCCCCAAAACATACCCTCATTCCGGAATATTGTATCCGAAAGTCTCTGCGTCGAAACGGGCAAAATTTCGGTTTCCAGAGATATCTTTCGACCCACAGTGAGCGGCGCCATTCGCATGTCTAACACTCTGCTCAAGTGGAACGCAACGATTTCCCCATTGTGGCGATCGAAGGTGAAATAGGCGTCTTCTAAGCTCTCCTCCCGGGCGTATCTGCGTTGTGAAATAGGGGCGTGTCGGTAGGTTAGTGTGCAGTCAGGTATTCCATGTGAAACACGTATGTATAATCATGTAAAGGAGAAAGCGAGAGAGAGAGAGAGAGAGAGAGAGAGAGAGAGAGAGAGAGAGAGAGAGAGAGAGAGAGAGAGAGAGAGAGAGAGAGAGAGAGAGAGAGAGAGAGAGAGAGAGAGAGAGAGAGAGAGAGAGAGAGAGAGAGAGAGAGAGAGAGAGAGAGAGAGAGAGAGAGAGAGAGAGAGAGAGAGAGAGAGAGAGAGACAGACAGACAGACAGACAGACAGATTTCAACAGATTCAACCATAAAAGATATAACAAATATACTTACCTCATCGGTTTAAAAATAACGGTCTGTCCTCCTTCAAGCTTGAGTTTAATCTTGAGCTGTGACCCTCTGTCGCTGAGGTCAGCAGAGGTCACGGCGGCGGTGGCGAGGGCCGTCAGCACGTCACCCAGACCCGGAGCTGACGAAGGGATCAGCGAGGTTGGTTTCGCCCACTGGAAGGTTTTTAGAGATTTATAAGGATAAGGGATTATGAGCGTGTGTGCGCGTTTATGAATGCACACACACACACGCACATACAACCACATATCGCACACGCAAACACACATACACACCACACACACACAGCACACACACACACACACACAACACCACACACAACACCACACACACACACACCACACACACACATATATTATATATATATATATATATATATATATATATATATATATATATATATATATATATATATATATATATATACATGCATATACACACAGGTTTGTTGCCAATTTCTTCTTTCCTTTCCTGCCACGCCCATCTGATGCCGTTTTAAGAGGATTTAACCTATTTACTTGTCCTATAGAAAGGGAGTTTATATCCGAAAAAATTACTACATATTAACAAACTGATATAATGTATACATAATTATTATAAAGGATAACCTTGACAACGAATAAGGTTAGTCCATGCTTATGTATGTTTGTAATTTCTTAATGTCACAAAAATGTATGTGGTATATTTATAGAGTGTTGAATTTGGATGCTTTCAATATGTCTAAGTAACTTTTAAACTTCAAACACCGTGCAAATTTACCAGTTAAAATGATGAATTTTGATTTTTGTAAAATACATTTTGCAAAGCACAGAAAATAAGTATGTGTGCCCCTCACCCTTGACTATTTCAATTAAGTATCAATTATATGATTTATCTTTGAATGCATAGTTGCCTTGTAATTATTTTTAACGGCCTTTTAACGAGAATTCCTAAATCATTCGATCAGTTTTCAATTTGAAAAATAAGAAAATTTGCTATTATCTTAATGCATAGAAAATAATGTGGGTATGGAAATTCCAGCTTAAAACACATCGGAACTTTAAAGTACAGACGTTTCCCTTCACCAAATTATAACCAAGGACATAACAACAAAATAACAACAACCACAAAATTGCTAACCTTCCGTGCCAATTTCCAAGGCTTCTTTGTAATTCCTTTCCCTTTTAAATCTTTCTTGAGTTTTGCGATGAACTCCCATATTTCAGGAGACGTGACTGAGTACTCTGCTCTAACCGCTGGGAGTTGTTTGTAGAGTTTTGAGAGCATTCTAAGCCCCGTGCGCTCTTGTTGGCTCTCCTTATAGTGGAAACTAGAACCAGATGTGGTGTTTAAGTTCATGGAATGCAAATAACATCTAGCTCAGGATCTGACAAGCCCCAGAAATAATAATGTTTGATTTACTGGCACGTGCTTAAATGGAAAATGTAATTCAAACCGTTTTCTAGCAAATAGACCGATTCGGTGTGACGTCACGAGTCGGAGTCGCCATTCCACTTGGTGAAAACAAACCCGTCGCTCGCAGATACCTCGCTATCAACGTGAAGGAAAATGGCGTATGAATTCTTTGATTCTTCAAAAACCGAAGCGAAAAGGTGATATGAAGCAAAACTAGAAGCTGTGTAGCTAAAAGAGTACTCATACCGAAATCTGGATCGACGATCCTTCGAAATGACCCAAAATTGAATATACTGACATCTACGACTATTCTATCAATAAAGCAGATGGTGATAATAATTTTATAACATAATTTGCTACAGTAAGTATGACGTTTAGCTATATAGGTATTTTTCTGTGAAATTAGTTCCATTTCCTAACATCACTTTTCTTCCCATTTACTAGGTGTTTACAAAAGACAATGAAGTCATGTATAGGCCTAAAAGCGCACAACGCATTTTTCTCTCCTCAATAATTTGACCTCAAGAGATAGACCCTCTTCAATTATTTCTTCTGCTGGACCATATGACATTTCAGACACAAAGGCAACAGGCAACTGTATACCTGCTTTGTTTTCATTTAATGGACAGTGCTTGAAGGCACTTGGGTGAAGTGGATGCGGGGATGGTTTGCCTGTAAATATAAATTATGATAAATCAATTTATTACAAAAAAGGAATAAAATGAAAATAATAGAATTGCTTTTGTGCTTTTTAGAATATATGACTATGCCAAAACCTAATGTCGACAATGTTGATCTTTGGTGTTGATAGGTAGTGTAGATAGACAAGAGTTTGAAAGTAAATATCTGTCTCTGGAATTTGAAAAGGTGTAATATATTGATATGTAGATCAATAAAATTCTGAGCAGATGTAAACATTTTCCACCAGGCGCCCAAGCACTCCCATCAGCGTTCATGCGTTTCATGGCCTGTAGGCCTACCCATGCTTCCATTATTCAGGTTTCTTTTCGCGATCTGGGGATATATGAAGGGTTAAACCTTTCTTTCCCATCATGTTTTGGTTTGAACAACCAACGACAACACAGTTCATTAGCATTTTCACGCAAAGAAACGAAATTCCCAGAAAAATTCAGCTACTTTGTAAGTAAAGCGCAGTGATTTTTCGAACGAATGAGGGTTTGTTTTCACCAAGTGCTCGTTGCTAGGGGCGGTTGCTAGGCGTTACCGAATCGGTCTATACACGGTAAAAATTGATTATACAAAATTTTACTATTTTTCGAGTATTAAAACATTTTTTTTTTCAAATAATAAGCTTAAATTTAACTTTAACTATATTCAGAGCAAATACAATCTAATACAATCTTCCATTGTAAACCTAGACAAGGACTTGACACAAAAAAACGAAACACAAGGAATGTAAATGACTTTAAAGACCCAACAGGCATATCAATTTATTTCATTTTAAGTGACCGAGGTCTGACAAATCTCCACTGGCTCTCTACTACAGCAAACAAGCAATAAATGGAGTCAAGAGATAAAGAAACCGAAGCTGGAAGGGGGGATGTAAAGCAAACGAAACAAAGAAGTTAAAGATTAAAAACTAGAAGGACGAAAACCCTCTGCATAGTTATCATATTTTCATACTACTCGGTCGTGTTTGGAATCTACTGTGTCCGATTCGCTGTCTCGTTTGAGACAAAAAAAATAAAGTTGTGTGAAGGTGTCAACTAATAAGAATTAAAAATAAATAAATACAGCGAATCGGTGTACTCCATAGGGAGTTGCCAGTTATTTATTCCATGAGATCGAACGCTCTTTAGTCAAAAAGTATCCAGAAGAGATTCCTTTACTTCAAGTTTGGAAAAAAAAAAACGAATCAGGGCTTCCAGATCCTATTACATGCTTCAAAATCTGAAAATATGTAGCGATCAGAATCAAAAACAGTTATCTTGTGTATAAAGCATTTAACAATCAGACTAAACATAGGTCATGGAACTCACACGTTCTTCAGCACATAAAATTCTCCTTCAGACAAGACCTTTTCCGACTCAGCCGAGTAAGTCAGCGGCGTGGGAGAGCGGGGGCTACAGGTTGAAATAATTTTCAGAAGAAAAAGAGTTGGCGTTAAAATCACTACAAAACACAGGGTCCGCCATACTGTTTTCCGTCTTCCAGTTTTCATGTTGAATTTTGTAAGAAACTGGAAGAAAAGGTTGAAGTGGTATCCGTGTGGTAATATCTCATGGAATATATTTATGAGGTAATGCTTCATGAAATATATCCATGCGGTGATATTTCATGAAAAATATGGATGCGGGATATTTCATGAAAATTATGTATACGGTGACATTTCATGAAAAAAATGTCCATGTGATGATATTTCATGAAAAATATGGATGCTGTAATATTTCAGGATGGCCAAGTAGTAACGGATTCAAAATTATACGAAAAATGTCAGTGCTAAGAAATTGTATTCACTGCAGTAAATTTATTCACAGAGTCCGATTTGTTAATTCTTCGGTCAGCTTCGATTATGATTAAAAAAAAACAAACTAATGAGCAATACCTCTATTTACAAATTTCACGAAGTTCATATACTCTTATTACATCATATGGACTTGCATCACTTGCGGCAAAATATATACACAGAGCTGGCCAGTTCGATAAAGATAAATCATCCGAGAAAAAGAACTTTTATCTGTTATCGATAAATGTAGGCCTACATAAAGACTTGTAGCCTCTGCAGAACGTCAATACAGCACAGATACAGCAGATACAGGGTCGGTATACAGTATAGATCAAAAGCGGAGTACCATTCACTGAAAGTTCTTGCTTGGTAATGACACTCAGCGAGAAATGGCGGGAAATACAAAATCGTTATTCCTTGAGTTTAACAGTATAATACGTAGACAATGTGTGTTTGAGAGATGGAATTGTTTTATGAAAAGGAACGAAATTCGTACGCATCTATACACGTACCTAGACACACACAGATAAACACATTTACACGATTGCATAAAATATCCACATATCTTTCTGTCCGTTCTTATGTTTTCCTATGTATCTCTCCATCACCATATACACACACACACAAACTCCTTTTCTTATTCCCCAATACAACAAGAGTTCCAATTTTCTTGAATTGTGGAATAACCGCCACCGAATCTACACAATTTTAGCCGTTAAAAGAGAAATTCAAATCTTTAAAGTTACTCGCAAACACCACACTCTACACTCGATGCAAGTGCGAGTAATACTGTTCTTGGTTGATGTTGAGGCTGTCAGGATGATTACCGCTTAAAATATTCGCATTTAGTTAACTGGGGTTGAGTGGATGCTGTCGCGTGCACCTGAGTCTGATTCGTTGAGTTTTTTTTATCTTTTTCTTTTTTTTCTTTTTCTTCTTGTCTTTCTTCTTCTTTTTCCTTTCTTTCTTTCTTCTTCTTCTTCACCTTCCTTACTTTCTTCTTCTTCTTCTTCCTTTTCCTTTCTTCTTCTTCTTCTTCTTCTTTTCTTTTTCTTCATCCTTCTTCATCTTCTTTTCTTTTTCTTCTCTCTTCGTTGTCGTCATCAGCATCTCCATCTTCTCTCATTATCACTCATCCCCTTCGTTATCATCATCATCATCTTTTTTCCTCTTTCTCCTATATCTACTACTTCATCCTTCGTCGCCATCCTCATCATCATCTTTCTCTCTTCTCTTTCTTTTTCACTTTATTACACGACATACCTTCGTGAAAGGCTTACCAAACTCCGTAAAAAAAATGTAATTACGCACGATCTAAAATGTATTTTTCAAGCCACTAAATCAAAAGTATTTATGGAAGATTCCTATTGCTGCTAATCTGCTCTCATTAATAATTCCATAATAATCCAATTACTTTAGGTAGCTGCGTCTCTACAGGCATGGCCACCCCCTATTTAAGTCATAATTGGCATGGACTTACATCTAAAAGGCATCTAAGTGGAAAGATAGAAATGTATTAAACGCTATTCGTCAATGGACCTAGATTATGAAAAGGATTTTTGTCTCGGAAATTCATATGAAAAGAATGCATACTGTTGTTGGTAAAGAATGCATAATGTTGTTTATATTTGTTTATAATACGTTGTTTCATCATTACTAGATGATATGGTGTGTCAAGTGTACATCATACTTTGTGGATATTAAGTGAAATAATTTATGTATTTTTGGATATTCGTTTTTCTGCAAGACCTTCTGACATGGATACGTGCACACACACATGCGCGCGCGTTTATATATATATATATATATATATATATATATATATATATATATATATATATATATATATATATAATATATATATGTATGTATGTATGTATATATATATATATATATATAATATATATATATATATATATATATATATATATATATATATATATATATACTGAGAGAGGAGAGGCGGGGGAGAGGCAGACCCACCGCAAATATTAGATGCTTAATTATGATGATCTCTGGTAATTTGCATATTTTATGGCGTGGACAGAGCACTTAAATTTCAGCGAAATTGACGACATCAACTTACCTCGCATTTCTAAGCAACACAAAAAATAAATTCTCAGTTGAAATGAACGTGCCAGCAGAACATTCACAATAGGGCGGAAAATGCAAATTCTAATCCTGAATTTGATGCAAAAAACAAGAATGATAGTAATAAAGAATGAAAATTGATTAATAAAAAATAAGGGTTTCATCCGCTACGTAATTTTATCTTGAACACTCGTGTATCTATGAAATGTTTGCATTATGCAGAATTTATACGTATGAAATGTCACGTCAAACTGAGTTAATGAACATCTGTGAAGCTAATTTTGATGGTGAATCGAAAGCAGAGAGGAAAAAAATCGTGCATTAAAACTAAAAGGTATCAACTGCATTAAATGATGATAATAAAAGTGATTATACAAAAAAAGGAAAAAAAAATATATATATGTCGGCTGCAATTTGAAATCATTGTTGCCCCCCCCCAAAAAAAAAAAATCGTGAAAACTAAAATTAGGCATTGCCATCTTTTAGTCTAACTATTCTTCCAACACAACTATTTAGTTAGTAGCACTGCCACCATCCGGGTTTTGATCTAAATAAGGAGGCACCCCAAAAAAAAACGTATTATGATATCAATTGGTAGCAGAACCTAACTGTCTGTAAGGCTCGTGGGTGTGGAAATAAATTCATTCCTTTGTTAAACGTGTGCCAAATTTTAACGGTCATGGAAAATTTTTAACCCTTAATATTTTATTCAATAACTAAACAGTGAACAAATGGCATATCATTCCATAAATCTTAGCAATACATACAATAATTAAAAGTAATATTTTCAAATAATTCAATTCATATCTAAGGTTAATTCTATATACCCTCCCTTTTCCTATTAATTAGAAATCAGTGACATTTTAATAAACATAATAAAAATATACGTGAGCCGAAATCGAGACCGTCACAACCAGTCTAACCGTGTTCTCTTCATGATTTTACCTAGGCTATAAGCCGATCATTTCCCTTGCTTTCATCTGTACAATTTTCCTCTCTTACACTTCCCTCTAGTAAATAATATCCTTCTCAATCTATTCAATGATACCACCGGAACTGTCACCTGCGACCACTCCCGTACTGTATCCACGGACTACTAAAATAACTAAATGAGTAACAAAATGTCCCTTAGCACCAAGCATTATGTTTGTTCTGGCAGCATTCTCCATTTCTCCTCTGTTTACATGGGGAGGGACAGGACTCGTCTTAATATCACAATTTGATACAAAGAGATTTAACAATTACATTAATACACATATCAAGCAGTAAAATCTATTATATGAGGGTAAAATGTGATTTTAAATACCCACACTCAGCTTAACTGTTTACATGGTGAGGGACAGGACTCGTCTGATAAGAAATTGTTAGAATAATGAAATAATTGTTTTCCCTTAAATAAATTGTTAACATTTAAACATACAAACCATTTATGAACGAGTATTTTAATTTACTCTATTTGTTATAACACTAAATTTTGCTATATTGATATGCCTTTAGATTTGAAAATATATAAACAACTGTTTTGTGACAAACGTACATCTTTGAAATCAGAAACATCGCATCTTTTAACATGTCGAATAAATAATGATTTCGACATTATGTATATAACTTTTTTTTTTAAATCATCTGAAAACCAAATATCAGATGACAAACAGGAATTCTCTGTGTCACCACACAAAATTCTCAAATTTGATTTTGTTGTCACATGACACTGTTTGGAAAAAAATAAATAAATAAAATAAAATACGGTCAGAGCAACAGCAAAATTAACCTATCATCGGTTAATTTTGTTATCAACACACAAAATCTATATTCGAGATCCCAGAAACAGTTATTTTTAATCGGGTGGATTTTAGTCTCGAAATCATTAATAAAAACAGTATACTGGTGTTACAACCGTTCCATTAGGTCCATAATACCCGGAGATACATTTCTTAATATTCGTTGTGCACAAGAATTTCATATTTAAACATCAGAGAATACTTTTGTTTACAGTTACAAGAGCGAGTAATCCTTCGTGAATACTTGTAATTGTTTCTTTAATTTGTAGTACACAAGAATTTCCTATTTAAACAGAGCAGAAAGATGGATTTTTTATTTCCTTCAGTTACTAGAGAAAGTAGTAAAGACTAAACCATTTAAAAAGTGTAAGACGCTAATACATAATATTTTTTTTGCATTGCTTGCATAATGATTCATGGTTTAAATTGCATTTAATTAAAAGTGCTGGTAGAAATGACATCATACGTGGGTCACCGAAGCACTCTGCTTTTTAGACGAAGTGAAATGTGGTTTTAAAATAGAAATACTTTTAAGAAACAAAGATATGGTATGTTTGCTAATAGTGTGCGGATAAATATGCAAAACTACGATTATTCAAAATTTGTTTCGCTTAAAAATTGCTTGTTTCTAATCTACATTGCATAAACGTCTTAATGCATTTTTTAAAAGATTCACTCCACGAGTTTAAACATCTGAAGGTGACACTTGCAAAGAAACCGGTTTATCTGTACTTGTCAGGAGTATCTTTGTAAACTTATATTTTAGTGCGACTGAAAGCTTGTCCGTTTTGCGTTACAATTCAGTTACACTAAGTGTGTTACAACAAATATTGCAGTAAGAATTGCCGCACATATTTTTCATGATTTAGAGACGTTTGTGTTTTGTTTTGTTTTTTGGCTTCTGATGTCGGCAGTGTGAA